CTCGGGTCCTGACCCGTCTCAGCACCTCCACTCTCCCCCTCCCGGGCCCGAGCCCCTGCATCTGAGCCCGGCCTGGACGCACACTCACTCCCTTCTGTCCTGGCTCCCCCAAAGCGACCCTGTCGCACCGTCAGACCGAGCCCATCCTCCGCTTGGATCCTGCAGGTCTTCGCTTTGTGTGTTAAATGGGCGCCGACCCCCAGCCCCAAGCCTTTCCCTGGTATCGCACATCACACGTCTGTGAGTGTTTACCGTCTCCCGGAGGTGGGGTTACTCCTCTCTCCCGCCATCACCCACTACCTGCCTCCTAGTATCGCTCCCTGAAACTCGTTCTCGCCCGAGGGCTTCTTACATTCTGTGTCCTCTGCCTGGGATGCTCCTCCCGCAGGTATTTCCATGTCACTCACTTCGTTCAGGCTCCTGTCACTGCCTCAGACAGCCCTCCCCGCCTCCCTATCTCCACAGCACACCCAGGCTCCATTCCCTCCCCACGCCTCGGCTTTCTTAGCACTTGGCACTCCCTGTCTTTCATGTTTATTCCCTCCCTCCTCCCACCCTCCAGTGTCAGTGGTATGAGCACGGGCACCCTGTCCATTGCTGTTCACATAATGGAACACATTGAATATTCCATGAATGAATAAACAGACTTCTTAAAGCTTTCCGAGTCGTAAGTTCTTTCAGGGTTCTTCTAAAGGGCATAATTTCAGGGCTAAAAATAATATTGAAATTGTACTGATGGTTGTCAGAATGACTCAGGGAATTGTAAACAGGGAAGTTATGAGGTTTTTATAGAAAAAAGCCACTCATCCATTCACGAAAGTAACATTTACTGGGCACTTGATTAAACAATGAGAGGTCAGGGAAGGTATCCCTGAAGAAGATATTGAAATAAGATCTGAAGGAAAAGTAGGAATTAAGGTGAGAGGGTGATTCAGAAGTTAGAAGGTTACACCTGTGATCACACATATTCTTAAATATAATGGTTCCCTTTTGAAGACAGGATTTGTAAGGCTTAGCAATAAGCTAATGCTTCTACATAAACTTTTGTTAGTAAATGCACATGTGAAAAGCATATTATTCCCTTATTTTAAACACAGGTTTTTCAGTTTCCTGCTATTAAAAACAGATATTTTAGCCCTAGCTGGTTTGGCTCAGTGGATAGAGCGTCAGCATGGTGACTGAAGGGTCCCTGGTTCGATTCCAGTCAAGGGCATATACCTGGGTTACAGGCTCGATCCGCAGTAGGGGGCATGGAGGAGGCAGCCAATCAATGATTCTCTCTCATCATTGATGTTTCTATTTCTCCCTCTCCCTTGCTCTCTGAAATCAATAAACAATATATTTAAAAAAATAGATTATTTTAAAGTAGACTTATTAAAAAGGATCTATTTTTAAAATAACTTTATTTCCAAAATGAAGCTCCAGGGCAAAGCACAGCTCTTGAAAGGGGAAGTGACCGTCCTGACTTTTTTTTATGATGAAATGTTTACATACAGAGATGCGGGACACGGAAGGCCCCAGCATCCAGATTCAGTGAGGGGTAACATCTGCCGTATTTGCTCCATCTTGAATTTTGGGAGAAAAAAACGTTTGGTATCCTTCTCTGCTGCTGTTTCAGATTAATTTCACCATTTAATTGCAAACTATAAGTATTTTCCAGAGATTTTTTTGTCGTTAATCCTCACCTGAGGATATTTTTTCCATTGATCCCTAGAGTGAGTGGAAGGGAGGGAGGGGGGAACATGGATGTGCAATGTGAGAAAGACACATCAATTGACTGCTTGCCACACGGACCGG